TCCCCATCTGAACTTCGGATAGCCTTTCCTCTGGATGCAGTCTATGAGTGATAGCCACCTTGACCTGTCCAAGGTTCAAGAGGATCCTGATTATCCGTCTGAATCGGAGGCGCCGCCTTTTCCTTTACTGGCGTGAGAAGGAGTTCCTCCTCTGCGTCAGTCGAGAGAAGCTCTGGTTCCGAAGACCCTTGAGCACTAACTAGGTTTATGTTGTCCTTAGTATTGTTGTTGTTGTTGTAATTGTCACTGTTGTTATTGTTGTTGTTGTTGCAGTTGTTGTGTTTGTCACAGTTGTTGTTCTTGTTGTTGCTGTTTTTGCTGTTATTGTTTAAGTTCTCCATTTTTGGTCCCACGAATAGCGCGGGAAAGTAAAGTCACCCATGGCAGAGCCCGGCATACAATGGGAAGGCTTGTTTAAACTGGAGGGTGCCTGGTATCCAGAGTCCGCATACTAACGACTAAGCTCCCCCTTAGCCACGCAGTCATCGGCATATGCTGTTTCACCTTGACTTGGGACGCCTGTCGTCAGCTGACGTATAGATATAGGGCTGAAACTCAAAAAGTAAGAGGCTCGCCGCGAGACATGACCACGACATGAACGTAACTTTGATGGTTTCAATCACCCCTTTATCCTCCGCCATTACCGGGGCCCACCACTAGGAGGTGACAGTGCGGTTTTGGGCCCCAAATAGACTGCGGTTTTGGTTTATTTAATAGACTACACAAATCGTTCATCCTAAATCTATGCAATCCTTAAAATATTTTCGTATATGAATAAAAGTAATTTTAATGGTGTTACAAACACATAGATTGTTTTTAAAAGCTGTATTTTCGCTTATTAAAGGAAAAAGTGCTACATTACAAACCATTGGTTTGACCCAACCTTACAAGTATATTATAGAACATTACGTTACAGATTCAATAATTTTATAAAATTACTAAGACTTATGTGCATGATCTATTGAAAACTCTATTGGACTAAATTCTATGGGACTAAATATTTTCTTTATCCTAAACCTTTAACTGTATTTTTAGCCGGAACTTGAAGAAGTAGTGGCTCATCAAAACAACTATAAATTGTTTCAATCACGTGAAGTATTCTATGGCAATCAATATAAGAATTTTAAAACGAGAAAATAAGGTTTCACCAAAGAACCCTGTGGCAATTTATTATTTATCTGAAGATGATATTTCGTAATCTCCTTACGAAAAGTTAATTGAACTTTCATGATTACTCGTATATAGTTTTTTTTTGAAAATTACAGTGCTAAAAGTAAAAGTCCTAGAAGTATCGATGATACCGTTTTTTCAAGCCAACAATTTTGAGAACTCTACTATCACATCATAAAGTTTCACAAATTCAAACCGAAATTATTCTCATTTATGGTATTCTCTTCCTTCAGTGGTTTTTGGTTGTTAGTATGTAGATTGTATTTAAAAAAAATTCCATAAATTTAATTTTGTAATAATAATTTTATGAAATTTTAGATCGTAACTGTAAAAAACATCCAATAACAATATTTGAGTGTAATTTATATATCGATTACTTCCAAATTACTTGTGCAATACAGTTTATAGTATGAGTTATACAATACAACAAAACCTCTTAATCCCGTAATATTTTGTCTATAAGAATTTCGATTCTTTGCGGTTTCGTTAGGTGGCAGCTATTTATTCCAATTTCACTTCTTATATTTAAAATTTTCTGGATATCATTAAACATTTTTTCAATTACATAAACCAAACATTTGATTTCGTTAATTATAAGTGTTCCCTTTAATGCCATATAGGGTATAAAAACATACTAGTATGTAATAAATCTTTGAAAATATTTAAAAATATAAAATAAACCCAATTTTTTTATTATTATTTAATTAACTGTGAATAAATTAGAGTTCAGAAATATAGAACGAAAATCGATTATAAATTAAGTATAAATTTATACCAGTGTGGTCTTTATGATTTTCATGTATTCTATGTACATATAAGTACATTCACTACGTGTGTTGATTTATGTACATTAAATTTACAAAATAAAACATCAAACTTTTATTAAAAATAATTTCTAAAATCTTCAATTTGTGTCGAATAATTCAAATCATATAAATTATATTTAAAAATAAAGTGTTTTTTTATTATTTTCTCATTGAATATTATTAAGATCATTAAATTTGGAAATTTAACTAGAAAACATCTGTTTTTAGCAAATCATATTATATTCATGTTTGTATATGAATAAACCATCTGTATTACAACGTATTCACACACACTAGTTAATTAACCGGCATAAATACATAAAATATCAAAAGTTCTTTTTTAAAAAAAGCACTTTCCACTAATAAGATCAAGTATATTGGAAAATAGAAAATAGTCTTGACATGTACCTTATATTGTATACCAAAATTGTACGGAAGCAAGTCAATGGTGTAGAAAGCCGAATTGCCTCGACTATATCTAATTCAAATAGAGTTGTGGCGTTTTTTTAAATAAACCAAGTTTTTAGTTTTTGATTTAAAGCTGAGACAGATGGATGGACTTAAGCGACTTAAAATTCGACACTGAGCAAGAATATTTATATACATGTCTAAATCTTAGCATTACAAACAGAATAGTAAATTTATAATATCTTTCGAACATACATTTGTATGAGTATAAAAAGTAGATGTGTATAAGCATTATTATTGCAAAAATACCTACATATCAAACAAATTAAAAATGTTATAGATTCTTCTTATATCTAAACCTGTTAAATACTTATATACAACCTTTAGCATAGCAATTCATATCAATTTTATTGGCATTGAAAGGAAAATTTAGGAAAAGTATATTAGTTTTTAATATTATTATGTTTTGTATGAAATTAATTGATATTACTTTTCTCTAGCATACACAAGCTTAAATGTATGTAGAATGTATTACAGAAAATAACGTTCACGCAAATTGCTTATGCTGTTTTTAATTATTGGTAATATATAAAAGTATATACGTTCTGTATAAAGAACGCCTTCTATTATATGTATATTAAATAGCGAAGTAGGTACCTCTATACCTATGAATGTATCTGTAATATGAACATATTCTCATTAATAATTTTGGTTTACTATTTGATTTAGTTTTAGAAACAGGAAAAGGATATATGTATATACGTGTAGCAAGTATTATTTAAGTATCATGTTATTGATTTCATATAGTTTGCGGTTTTTATTTTCCTAAAAAGAATATTTATATATTTCAAAATCAACAGAAAATAATATACATGCGTATGTACATATGCGATACAAAATAAATTTTAAATGTATAAGATTTCTACATAATTATTTGCCCACAAAATTTCTAAACTGTATAAGTGAAATTAACATATTAATAATATATAGCTAAGGGAAAATTCCGCAAAATAGTTGTTTAGCTAACATAAGTAGAAATAAGATTCGAATTCGGAGATCCGAATTGTAACTAAATAGCGGATGTTAGTTACATATATTATGTTAGAACATATATTATAATTATTATTTCGATGGTGCAAGGAATTAACGGTCTATATAAGAAACAGAGTTTTAAAACGAAAGTAAACAGGAAAAAAATAATAAAAATATTTTACATTGAATTGAAGAAATTAAATTCAATTTAGACGTATGCCTTATGGTGGGTGATAACTATAAAGAATAACAAATTCTTTATATTTTAAAATGTTATTTCCGAATTACATGTTATGTTTAACTACAAATTTTATATGAAAAAAATCTGTCAAAGTAAAACTGTCAAATTTTTCAGGATAACATGTTTCTCAAATTATGTTTTCCTATTATGAATTGATTATTTTTGGTATTTTTTCTGCAAATCAAAAGAAAATCTGAAAGAAACTTCAAAAAATTTTTAAAAAAATTTAAATCGAAAAATATTTCAAAATACAAAAATTTCATGAATACAAAAAACAAAAATATTTTTTTTTTTAATTTTTAAATAAACAAAATGTTAACCAAAACAATTTTGTATGATACTCGTATGTTAATGTTAATGTTAATATTTGTATGATACTCGCGCAGTGTAATGTTATTATTCTGTAATCTGAGTAAACTACACAAGAAATATAACCCAGCATTTACACGTACAAGTTACTTGCAAGAAAGTTGCAATACATACAAAAATTTTACTAACACATTGAAATATTTCTACTTGCTTGTTTACTTGCAGTTCAACTTGCAAGAAAATTTTGCTGCCAGTAATTTGAGCAAGTAATTTGACATATTGAGAAATTCACAAAAAAAAATTTGTTGTTTTGATTTTTTTTTTTTTTTAATTTAAAATTTTTGAATTTTGTTTTGAAAAAATTAAACTTAGCAAACTTATGGTTTCTAAAATTTATAAACAATTATATATATTGCTAGTTGTTTTCTTCTCAAAGACATTTTCAAAAATTAACTTGCTAAACGCCTACGTCATAATAGCAAGTAATTTGACATTTCGAAAAACTAATTGACAATTAATATTATACAAACTTGCTTGCAAGTAACTTGTATGTGTAAATGCTGGGTAAAAAGAAAAATTCAAGGCAATTTTAATCATTTATTTTTCTTTCTGAAAAAATTAAAATAATAGTAGGAGCCTTTTGAAAATATATTAAAAAAAATGGGAATATTCAAAAATATTTAAATAAGAATACTTCGAAATACATACAAATACGTTTAAAGAATTAGGAATTGTTTTGCAAATCTTGTTACTGCGGAATAATACTTCAGAAAATAATTTCAGCTTGGTGACCTGATAGATACATGTGTATTCGGTAATATTCCACTGGAATAATCTCAATTGTGAATTGCTCGAAATAGGAATGAAATGCATGCATACATACATACATACATATGTAGATAAAATTAATTAAATTTCAAAATTAAAGTCATAAGTATTTTAATAATTAATTAAGTATAATATGCAAATTTATTAAGTGTGTATATGTGTTTACTTTTAGAATATTACTAATTTATTTTTCTTTTTCTAATTTCAGGGGACCATTTTCAATTGTTAGACGTTGTATACATAGAGAATCAAATGTACAATTTGCTGTAAAAATAGTCGATGTAGCAAAATTTACTTCTAGTCCTGGTTTAAGTACGGCAGGTATGTCATTTATATAGAATATTATAATTTTCATATTAAAAAGAGTTTTTAATATTATTTTACAATTTCAATATATGAAAATATGAATGCAGAATTTAACATGAAAATATGTTAATGCAGAATTTAACATGAATGCAGAATTTAACATGAATGCAGAATTTAACATGAAAATATTAAATTCAATGAGACAACTTAAAAGATCGAGTAAACTACATATAATTAATAGTTTTTATTGAAGTTTTTGAATTTTAAAATTTAATCGTAAATGTCGCAAAATAAGATTAATTTTCCAAAAACACAGCTATTATGTTTTAACCCTTTCGACCGGGCTGGTACACGTTTATGTACCAGTAATGTAAAAATATCCCTAAAATTTAAAAATTGCATTGTATTTGGTTCTGTGCTGCATTCATTAGTTTTTACAAGATTCGGCACACTAAATTTTAACACGAGTTTTTTCATCACAGACAGTTTATTTTATATAAAGTATTAGATTTCACACGTGAATCATGTGCTGATTATACTATTCGAAAGCCGGGTCGAAAGGGTTAATTAATATTAACAAATCTACCGACTTGAACATTATTGGAAACCTATTTTTGTTGTAATTAAATTTGTCTTTCATAATGTTTGTTATTAATATTTACGAAAAAGAATTAAAAATCAAAATGATATAACAAAATAAGGGGTTATTAAGTAAATCAAATAATAGAGAATTTTTAATAAAAATGAAATTAAATTTAAATATCAGAATCCTTTAAATTCTTTATTTTGTTGTTTTAGTTTTAGTTTATCCTTTAAAATATCGCATTGCAGTTGTCGCATTCATGCTAAATTCCATTGAATTTCAAAAAAAAAAAATTATATATTTTTTTTTCTACACCAAATGCATATTTTGCGGTTTCCTTTTATTGTTTGTTATCAACTAAATTAACTTGTATATAAAGGATAATAAAGATAAAGAAGAAAATATGTGAAATTTCTTTGACTTTGTGATAACAATTTTAGTATTCAAGTGTAGAGTTTTTAATAAAAAAATACCAAAAAATTTCTTGTTCTAAATGCTAAATTAAAAAAAAAAAATAAAAAATACATATACTAAATAAATTTTTTTTTATTTACACTTCTAGATCTTAAAAGAGAAGCAACAATATGCCATATGTTAAAACATCCACATATAGTTGAACTTTTGGAAACATATAGTTCCGAAGGCATGCTTTATATGGTATTTGAATTGTAAGTATATTTTCAAGAATTTTAAAATATTTTAATAGAAATTCAAATAAATAAATAAAAATTTTGCAAAATTGAGCCGAAGTTCCTATAGAGCAAATATAACCTCACTCTTTAATATTAAATTTGTCATATAGAAATAATAGAGAAATCCATGCTGTTTTGTATTATCAAAAGCATTTTTATTCGAGTATAGAAAAGTCAAGCATGCTTGTAATAGTTTATTTTTATTGATAATTTCAAAAAAATATTTTTTCTAAATTTTACACCTATACTAGAAGGCATTGTCCTGGCCACCGCTTAAAGAGGGCAACTCTCATTTTTTTTTTATGGTTTTTAAAAAAATGTATAGAGTTTATATGAAGAAAAAAAAATTATGGCCATCCTTTTATATTTTAGGTCATTTACATCTAAAAATACCTATTTTCTAGAGCTTTATCTCGATGTTTACAAAAAAAAATTGCCAAAAGAAGGAAATTTGCTTTCGAAATTAATTTTATTAAAAACACACATCCTAATCAAACCTTCCATCAAAATAAATTTTAAATTGAAAAATTTTTATATTTCAAATTCACAAAACTCTACGCGTTATTTTCCTTTTATTACAAAACTTAATTGAAAACATTATTGTATCCAAGAAAATAAAAATATAAAAATAAATTAATACAAAAGTCAAAACTTTGAACGAAATGGACCTACTTCCTCAATAGGTTTTTCAAACTAAAAAATAAATTGACGAAAAACATACGAATTATATCGAAGTTGACCCGATTGAAGCAGTTCGGTAATTTTTTCAATGCGGTTGCCCAGTACTTACTAGGGCAGTGCCAGAAGTAATAAATTTATATGGCGGAATAAATTATTTGACATTCATATTAAGCATGTGTATGCCTTAATTACATATATTATATGGCTTTCAATAATAATCCTTAAACAATTTTTGTGCTAGTTTCATATAATTACTAAAATTTATTCGTTTCCATTACATTATCAATTACAAAACTTCTCATAATTGTTATAAATTTACACTTTTAATTTAAAATTGCAAAAATATTTTTATAAAAAAAAAAAAGTCTTGTACCTATTGTACAATAATTTATTCCGTAAAAGTTCTCTTTAAAATGGAAATACTTACTTATAAATTTCTTTCGCAAAGTTTATTGTTCACTGATCTGTTTATATTGGTACGGCTGTATAACAGAATATTAAAGTAAATTTGCAGTGCCTATGCTACATATAACAAAATATTTAGATAAGATTTTTTTTCGTGTAGGTTGAAAATTTCTTGAATTAACCATTAATAAATTTTGAATTCAATCACAATTCAAAAAATTTCATCTTTTTAAAAAATCACGAAAAATAAACACATATACACTCAATATAATGAAATGATTGTATATACATAGGTTAAATTATTCAAAATTAATCCCGCCATTTTTATTATTTTTTATTTTATTTGTTTGTCTTCTCTTAAAATTTTGATATTGTTATAAAAATTTTTGTTTACATTGTACGCTTGCATACAAACATATACATATTTCTATATAATTACAATGAGTGAGTCCTTAGAAGTTATAAAATAAATTTTTAAATTATTTTCATTTCCTTTCATTAGACAGATTAATTTACAAAGAAGAAAATAAAGAAAATTTTATTTCAAAATTTTTTTGTTTGTATTTTTCAAATTTTGAAGTACTTTACATACATATATAAAAAATATTGTTAGAATGGTTATTTAAGCGAAAAAACGCGTAAATAAAATTTTCCACAATATTATTAAAAAAAATTTTTATTTTCAGTTCTAGGAAACTTTTTCTATTGTTGAATTCACAAATTTCTTGTCTTTTTTTCCATTTCCTTAAAGCTAAATTATAATATTTTTAATAGAAATTGAATCAGAATGTGTTGATTAAAACGTGCTAATGTTTTGTACATGTTTATTTGTATATGGGTATTGTCTACTACTGTCTGGTAGTGTTTACTAAATGGTTAATAATTTTAGTCTTTATTCATTCTCAATCTAAAAGAAAATTTTTTAAAGAAACCTCGTAATTCCATTTCAATAAATTATATTTAATTATATTTAAAATTTGGGGCTCAATTTGTAAAAAATTGAGCCAAAATTGAGCCAAGTAATAATTTTAATTTTTAAAATATTTTTAAAAATTAAAATTTTTACAAATCTGAATAAAAGAATTAGATTTAGATCACTTTTGTGGCTCTTGGATTTCGTGCCTTTGCAAAATTTTGTATTGAATATATTTGGTATACACAGGTTAGATAATTTTTCTAAATGTTTTTCTTAATAAAATTGTCTGAAACCTGTTTTTGGAAGCAAAAGAAATGAAATTTTTGTCTTATTGTTTTTGCAATAGACCGTTTTGTGAATGAATTAATATTAATTTTTTTCTAATAGTTTTATGCAATTTAATTCAAAATTGACCAATTCGTATAGTTGGGCCACTAGTTATTAAAATTTTTGAATTTTTCAAAAGAAGAGTGTTCAATTTTATAATCAGCTAAAATTTTCTATTTCTGAAGAATACGTAAAAATTCCTTTTCAATATAAGCAAAAGAATTCTTACAAGATTTTCCCTTTTTTCTTAGAAATGTTTCAGTTTGTTTTTCTTTAAAATTTTACTTACTAGTTCAAATATAGTTAATATTCGTACTGTTGGTACTATGTATGCAAATTGTATTCCTTAAGGTCCTATTTTTATCATAGAAAAAATCAACATAAAATTTCTTTTTTTTTTTTTTGCTTGTAAATTTTTGACTTTAATTTTTTTGTTGTTCCATCAAAAATTTTCTTTAAGTTTTTTTTGTTTTTTCTTTACTAATATTAACAAGGATATGAAAAAATTGTTTAACAAGTAGCAAAAATGGTTTCACGCTAAAATAGATAATTGAGTCACTTGGTGACTTGGTTTTGTATTTTTCTTATTTTATTTTTTTTTTATTTCTTTTTTAACATCTTTATAAAAGTATGAAGTATTTACCCTTCCATTTATAATTTTTTAGAAATTGTTATTATCTAGAACGGTAGATTTTTCAATAAGTTTTTTCTGAAAAATCATTTCGGAAAATTTATTAATGCTAATATTGTTTTACCTGAAATTTTCAAAAGTTCATAATTTTGATAAATTTCGAAACTGTCTACGTGGATCTTTTATGGATTAATGTTATTATTTAATTTTATTAGGATTAATTTAAATGGTAGATTTTAATCTGGACACCTACATCTGGACACTAAATTGAGAAAATACGTTTTCAGATGCCCTATAGTTTTCAAACTTATTGAAAAATTTTTAAATTTTTTCAATAGTTAAATAAGGAAAATTTTTTACGATATTTGTTTCAATCATGTTTTCTAAGGATATGAAAAAATAAAAGAACACATTTTGTTGTTGTTTTGCATGTCCTTCGATTTGTAAAACCACACTTACAATTATTACAGTAAGTAGCAAAGAAGATAAACAAAAATGTGTATATATTTTCGGCATATTATTGTAAGTGTATATGTGAATGTTTCATAGATTTATGAAATAAATTGACGCTTTATGGTTTTCAGTCCTTATGTTTAAAATAATATCCTTGGGGATACTTTTAAATTTTCTTCTCGACATTTTTCTATTTTTTGTGTTCAGGGTTAAACACAAATTTTAAAAGAAAAAAAAATTATTTTGAAGGTAAAAAAAAAATTTCAATTTTATACAGAAAAGGAAAATGTAAACACAAAATATAAGAATATTTATTTCAAATTATAGGACCTTATGCAAATTATTATTTGCGGTAATAAAAATATTAATTTAAATATGAAATTTTTTTCATTATAAAATGCTTATGTTAATAATACTTATATAATTTAAACAACTCCTCTAAAAATATTCATTGCATTTTCACTTGAATTAAATCAAATATTGTGAATTAATTATGCTATACTTATAGATTTTCAATAATAATTAAAATATTTAAATTGATTAATAAAAATAAAATATTTCAATAATTGAAATAGTAAATGAATAATTACGGAATAATTTTTATTCATTTTTTTTTTAAATTTAAGAATTGAGACTTATAAAATTTGTGATTATTTTAGGCATTTTTGGTATAATAGAAGATGAAGAATAGATTCAGTTAACTCTGTCAAATCTGTATGAAACTCGTACGAATAAATGATTTTAAATGCCGGAGATAATTGACATACAGTTTCATACAACCTCTTGCTATTTATATGTCTAGTGCTATTTTATTCATATATTGTAATTACCATATAAACCCATAAAATCTAAAAGAGTTCTATGAAAAACGATGGCGATATCGTGAAATTTCAACGACTTTTATCAAACTATTTGCTTGTACAAATTTTTAAAACCATTCACTGAATATTTTCTGAGATATGGTCATGAGATCTCAACAACTTTTAATAAATGTAGCTGCAATTTTACCATATTTGATTTGCAAAATTTAAATAATGTAGGTTGAACAGTTTTTAAAATTTTCAAATACACACTACAAAAAATAATTGTTACCTAAGCCGGTATCATGGAAATACCTTCTCGTGCTACCTTCGAGCGAAATTATTGTTCTAAATTTTGTTTTTTGCTATTAGAGAGAATGTAATTAGTGCAAGTGGATTAATGAAATGTTGTCATAAGATGTTAACACTACAATATTTGCTTTTAGTAAAAATCTTACAATATTCTCGAATGAAGATGTAGTTCTATTACATCTACTGTTTATTATGCCAGTAAAGTTTCTGATGCATCTCATAAAATAGCGAAAATGATTTTTGACTGCAAACGTACAAAGTACAGTGTTGATAATTTGTACAAAATGCTGTGTGAGTATAAGTGCAAAAAGTCGATGACCCTTGGCCTTGTTTTTCAATGCATTAGACGTTGCGGTTTAGGCTTCACGTGTATTTCATTTAGAATCAAACTCTAATAATGAAAGAAAAACATTTAACCGCCCTAAAGTTCTTCAAAATCTTGCAGAAAGGT